ACCCAACCCTGTCACACCACTTGTTTCATTGTCCCAACCCTAGCTGTCACACCACTTGTTTGTTTGTCCCAACCCTAACTGTCACACCACTTGTTTCATTGTCCCAACCCTAACTGTCACACCACTTGTTTCATTGTCCCAATCCTAACTGTCACACCACTTGTTTCATTGTCCCAACCCTAACTGTCATACCACTTGTTTGTTTGTCCCAACCCTAACTCTCACACCACTTTTATCATTGTCTCAACCCTAGCTGTCACATCACTTGTTTCATTGTCCCAATCCTAACTGTCACATCACTTGTTTCATTGTCCCAACCCTAACTCTCACACCACTTTTATCATTGTCTCAACCCTAACTGTCACACCACTTGTTTCATTGTCCCAACCCTAACTGTCACACCACTTGTTTCATTGTCCCAACCCTAATTCTCACACCACTTGTTTCACTGCCCCAACCCTAACTCTCACACCACTTGTTTCACTGCCCCAACCCTAATTCTCACACCACCTGTTTCATTGTCCCAACCGTAATTGTCACACCACACATATCATTGTCCCAACCCTAACACTCTCCCACACTTATTGCATTGGTTGAACATTTGAAAAAAATATGACAGATCCTTACATGCTATTATTTCAGCAACATTCTATTTTTGACTCTTGATCTATTGTGAAAGGTCAGTAACACAGAATTTCCGTGCTCTTCTCCAAATATGAAATGAAATTACCCTGTTTCCTAATTTCCACAGGTGACTTAGGAAAATTAACCGTTTAAATTCCATAATGTTCTATAACCTTTTTCTCAGAGAGGAAATGAACATTATTTCCCATTGGCTACATGTCTTGATAAAATATTACGGAGGTTTACGCTTTGTGATTGGTGACAACAGGTAATATTGAAAGGGTGAAGCAAATAATGGATAAGCAACTGGTGTGATATGAGAAGATATTGAGACAATTATAAAAGTGCTAAACGTACATATATTTCAAAAAATGGAAATGAGCGAGTATTTAAAGGAAATGGTTTAGTGTTAATTATTGTTTTTTTCCCTCATGTCCTTGAACATTTATATAGTGTGAATTATATAGCACTCGTTTCTGTCTTCACAATAGAAACTTTTCAAGCATCCATTGCGCTTTGTGATGAATGAATGAATAAATAAATGAATGAATAAATGAATGAATGAATGAATGAATGAATGAATGAATGAATAAATGAATGAATGAATGAATGAAATTGATATGTGCATAGAACTCTTAGGAGTGGAAATGTGGAATTGGGGGCATTTCGCCCATTTACCACTTCGCCCGAACGGTTTCGCCCGATTACCTGTTCGCCCGATTACCATTTCGCCCGATTGCCATTTCGCCCGATTGCCATTTCGCCCGATTGCCATTTCGCCTGATTCCTCGTATGTTTGGTATTTACGTGTAGTCAAAACAAGATAACGTAGAAGTCGAAATTTTTATAAGGTGACGAACATGAAGTTTACAACGGGGTTGTAACGTAATTTTATGCCGTTTTATGCCATCTTGTGTGGGTCATACCATTTGTGTATCGGGAGGAAACAATGAGTTGAGGGACAGTCACACCTTTTTGTTTGATGGTGGTAGTTCCTTTAGTTAAATGCACCGCGACCCTTTAAAAACACATTTTTTTTTGTATAAGAAGGTAAACCTCTGTTTTTAATGTAATTCCAATCTGATAAAACTTTATTTTTCCTTTAATATTAGCATTTTTTGGTAACTTGACACAGTAAA